ATCAACTCCAGAGACAAATAGTTAGCCCTTAAGCTTTTGAAATGACTTGAGCTCAGAGAAGCAAAAATGTTAAATTCTGGACCCACATTCTGGTGCTGACTTAACTACAGTACAGAAGTTTTCATTTAAGCCCTACAATGATTTATACCAAACATGGTTAGAGAATTAATGACTTAGTGAAAATTTGAGCTAATTTCAAAATAAAGATATTTCTAATCAATATCTGACTGCAAACCACAATGACAGGAGTCCAAACACATCAGCTGCTCCTTGGAAACACTATACAGGATTGCTATAAGTCACAACCAACATAAAGGCACTTAACAACAACAACATACATTTTTGACTTGTGATACAGTAAAGACAATGAAAAAAATAGATAATATACTGAATCACAATGATAAAAACTGTTCTTTTATAAGATAGTGGGGAAAAAAATCCGATTCAGATTAAGTTATGATACTTGATACATTCTAAGCTTTAAAATTAATTAGGTTAACCCATAAAGTACATCTCCCAACTCTATTATCTAGCATAAACTGCTAGGTTATGTTTGAGTACACATTTACCCTATAAAAATTGGTAAGGAAAAAAAAAAAAATTGCTGGATGAATCTACCTCATTAAGAATTACAATTTAAAGCCTAATAATGCTCTGTTGTCAACATGGAAATGTTCCTCCTTCTCTGGAGGCCTTGCATGTGTATATATTACCAGCATAAAGTTAGCAGTCATCACTTTCCAAAGAATTCAAAACAACCTTCAGGTAATCCACATATACACATAATTGACAACTGAAAGTTTAAAAGTAGGAGTTTTAAAGAGAATAGGATGACCATGCATCTCTGTGCTTTAAAGGCCCCCAGGGCTTTTCAAGGCTACAATTAAATGTGGCTTGTTTTGTATTGACAGATAGAGGGGATCTGAATTATTCCCTAGCTGGCACCGCATTAAACCATTTTTCATTAGAATTCCTTTTTTCCAGACAGACCAATACAAGCTCAGCTGCCAAGTAAATGTCCTGGGAGACATTGTCCTATCACGTAAGAGATCAGGAAGTAAATTTTCATTTCATAGAAGAGTCCTTGGGGTAATATTTTAATTTTACTTCTGAAAGCACACCTACTATATCCTCCTCCCTTCTAAAAATCTGTCTCTCTGTCATTAGGGATTGAATTATATCCAACTAAAATATGTGTCCTAAATCCTAACCATACTATATTGCCTGTGGTTAGAGGTTAGAATTCAAAATGCATTATTTTCGGGGGGCAGCAGGAAAAGCACTGAACTACTAATCACAAGGTCAGCTGTTCAAACCCACCAACTACTCCTTGGAAACCCGATACAGGGTTGAAATGAGTTGAAATCAACTCTGTGGTACTTAACAACAATATGCCTGTGGTATAATCCCATTTCCACCACTTGTCTGTCAGTTTGTCATACTGTGGTGAGTGGAGCGTTGCTGTGATTCTGAAAGCTATGCCACCGGTATTTTAAATACCAGCAGAGTCACCCATGGTGGACAGGTTTCAGATGAGCTTCCAGACAAAGACAGACTAGGAAGAAAGACGTGACAAACTACTTCCAAATATTTACTCCCTGAAAACCTTATGAATAGCAGAGAAATACTGTCAAATATAGTGCCAGGAAATGAGCCCCTCAGGTTGGAAGGCACGCAAGATGTGAATGGGGAAGAGCTGCCTCCTCAAAGTAGAGTTGACCGTGATGACGCAAATGCAGTAAAGCCCGTAAGAGAAAACCCTACAGGATCTTCATTTGCTGATGGGGCACACAACTCAAAATGAAGAGAAACAGCTGTAAACATCCATTGAAAATCAGAA